CCTGCTACTTGGTTTGTGCTGAATAAAACTGAAGACAGAATGCAACTCACTTTCACGCTTTTTTTTTTGTTTTAGATATTTTAAGTCAGACAATCAAGCCCTACAATGTAAGTTTGTTTCCTTTTCTATATAACAAGTGAGAGATAAATAAGCATTATTACTATTTTGAGTTTTTGCTTTCTCATCCTTTTTCAAGTACACAAAAGAAGCTGGTATTGTTCCTGACAGAAATTGTCTCTTGTAGACTCCTGCACAGTCTCAAGTGTAGAATAATCTGTTACATTTCATAAGCCAACACAGAATTATATCACTCAAATTAGAGGTGATTAGGCCTGTATTACTTTCCTTTTGAAGACTTCCTCATGGCAGACCAAGAAATTCTAGTTAATGACCACCCATTAAATGAGCTCAGGATTTTGCTGTCACTTGGGGCATCAGAGATGACAGTACTGCCTTTAAAGCAATCCATTCCTAAACTAATGCTTGTCACTGTCTCTGTTAGATGGAAACTAATGGAATTCTGGCTCAATTACAGGCTGAAGACAGTGAGAAATTCAAGACAATAGTGGAGTTTGAATGCCGAGGTCTGGAACCAGTTGACTTTCAACCACAGGTGAGTTCTTATTTGTGATTAGTTTCCCAGTTTTTAAAAACACTTTTTGTAGACTCTACAGTGATAAAATACACGGTTTGAAATGGTTTTGGAACATCCTAGACCTCCCCAAATTCCCATTCTTTCCATCGGGTTCCCGTCTGCTTTTTTTCTACTTCATTTGACTCCAAACAAACCCAAAACCCCACGATCAGGTAACACAGCTCTGGTATTCTGTGCCAGGAAAATCCAACATTATGCCCACCTTGCAGTCTTACTCCAGCTGCCTTACAGGTGACTCAGCACTGCTCACCTGAACTCACCTGAGAGGTCTTCATCGCTCAGGTTATGGCAGAAGAGTCTTTCCCAAGGGGAATTATGAGAGTGCAGCGTTAGGCAGAGCACCCCTGTGCTCCTTGGTACGTTACAGAGAGCACGTGCAGTTCAGGTTATGAACACGATTCAGTGTGTGTCCTCTAGAAAACAAACTTTCTTTGGGATTTGACATCACCAAAGCCACAGGAAGTGAATATTTGCATTTTTCCACGTGGACCTCGACCAAAGGCTGAAGATCAGCAGCACTTGAAGGCTGTTGCAAAGCACACCTCAAGGTTCAGAGTTAAAGGATTTCTTCAGGGCCAAGCCAGTCTGCAGTGACTCATCTGCTTGTGCATGGTCATGCTGTAGCCTGTTAACTCCCTACTATATTTAACGTTGGATTAGGTGTAAATAGACTGACAGATATAAACCTGTCTTATCCTTCCCTCAGACTGTGATGCTGGGCTAAGAAACAGCCCAAAGAAGCCTATTCTACAGCGAATTAGATATAAATAGAATTCCCGCTGCAGAGTGCTAGAGGAGGTCTTTATCTGTTTAAGTGAAGTCCATCTTTCTGAGGAACAGATGGGTTATTAGTTTATCCCTGTTTCAGAGCTATGCAGCCAGACCTAGGAAGTTGCACCTCAAGAAAAAGCTATGGGAAGACTAAAATATACAGGGGACGTTTGTAGCTCTGCATCCTAACTGTTAATATGGTCTCTGCACTTGACTGGAGAGTATACTTGAATTCCTGAAGAGGTATTTGAGTGAATTTTCTGATGCCTTAATCAGTAAATGAGAATTAATTTTCTGGTGCCTGTATGACTTCTGCAGTTCCAAACAATTCTGTAAACTGCTTTATATTTGGCATGATCCCCACCAGCCTGGCTCCTCCACAACTTTACATCTGGCTTCTGATCAGCACCATGGCCACAGTATTACAGTATTTTCTCCCTATTCTTGGTAGACATAATACAAACACACCTGAAGTCAATTTAAAGTGGCTTAATGCTTGCATGTCTTATTTAAATTGTAGTTATCTAAAAAAAGAAAGCAGAGAAAGTACCTTTGATTCTCCGGATATACACCCTCCTTTTAGACCTAGTGCAGAAGCTCGTAATTCCAGTCACGTGGCTCCTTGTTCCTTAGAGGGCTGGTGAGTGGCTGCAGGTGGCAAAAGCAGGGCTTGATTTTTCTGGTGTTTGTTCTGTACTGCAGCTCTGCAGTTCTGTCCCATGAATGCTGATCTTCCTCTCCACCCCAGCAGTTCCCTTGAGCTGGGCTTCCAACAGTTCTAGAAGGGCCACTGTGCCCTGCAGATCACTCTCCTCGTGTTAGATCCGACCCACTCTGTGGTTTAGTTAACTCCCAAGTGCTTAACCTTCCTTCAGATCCTGAAATATTTTTAAAATCATGTGGCTTACTCTGCACATTCTTACACAGCTAAATGTCTGACTGGCATTAGTGGGATTTCTCTATCCAAAATGCAAGTGCAGATCCCTTGGTAGAAAATCAGGAAGAAACGTGGATTTTCAGGCACTTGTTAATAAAATTGTGTAGTTAGAAATGGCAGTGTAAGAAACCTTCCTGTATGCTGCAGAAATGGCTGGGATTTTTAAATATACAATGAAATTTAGTGCTGAGTTACTTTCTTTAAATGTGTTTCAATGATCATATTTATTACTTTCTTGGTACAACTTATTTTTAAAAACTTTCTGCAAATGTGTTTGCAGGCAGGGTTTGCTGCTGAAGGTGCAGAATCTGGCACACCTTTCAATGACATCAACTTGTTGGAAAAGGTATGTTGTCTTAGTTTCATTAGTAAATCTAATTACTTAGCTTGCTTTCCCCAAGTCACTCGTCCAAAATACACCCTGCTCTTTCCTGTAGCCACAGGAACTGCAGCAACTATGAACAACCAGCATTACTAAGTGTCATTTTAGAAGCAGGTATTTGATAACCTAGCAGCTGGCAAAGGTAGAAATGCTACCTTTAAGTCACTCAAGAATTCCAAAGAGCAAGAACCTGGAATATTAAATGGCTGGGGTCACGAGAGTGGTAAATTGATTTTTCTAGGAAGATCCCTGCACATTTTCCTGTGCCCAGAGGTATTAAAAAGTAATAGAGACACTGTCCTTCAAAGCTCAGGATAATGACACCAGCATTGCAAATCTTCCTTGGCTGTGAGCAGGAATCTCAAGGTCAAATCTGTTCCCTGGTATCCTACTTGGCAGGGATCTGCATGTCTGCTTACCCACCTGACTAGGGTATTGTAAATGATAGATAATCCTTTCACCTGCCATGGCTGCTGTCTTGTCCACTACACACTGTGGACTACATATGAAAAAACCTACAACATTATATAAACAAAAACACTGAGACTGAAGCTCTTTTAATTTCAGGTTGGTGCTTTTGCTTCTCTCACCTGTCAGAACTTAACTTAGTGACTGCACAGTGCTTTCCACAGAAGTCTGAGATCCAAATTTTGAGTAACATTTGGTTTCAGTTTGAATTCCAGTCTGTGTGCTTTCTGTCCTCTGTGACTAACACTGTGAAATCTTATTTCCTACAGGACTGGAATGACTACGACGAAAAAACAAAGGAATCTGTTGGAATCTATGAAGTTACCCACAAATTTGTAAAATGCTGAAGTTCACAGCCCTAATAAATCTTGACATGCTCATTGATGGAGGAGCTGTATCCATCAGATACAGTTTCCTTGGAGTTACTTTTTTTTACAGGGCTGCACTTCAGAAACCCAAGTTCATAGAACCGTTAAGGTTGGAAAAGACCTCGAAGATCACCAAGTCTGACCTTTGACCAACATCACTAAGTTGTACTTACTGTCCCCAGCATTCCCCAATAAAATACTTTCCACAGAGCACTCGGAGATGGCCTCAGTACACACTGAAAATAGTACATACACCTGACTGACCTGTGCCATTTTCTTAATGCCTTTTTTTTGAAATATATACAGTTGTGGTGGACTGTAGCTTAACTACTGTACACAGTGACTACTCAGACACCCTACAGCCCTGAAGTTTAACATGAAGAAATAGCTATGAGGATTAGTGAGGTTTGTGTTAACTATTCCAGGGAACAGCTACACCTTTAGTGGCTTTCTGCCACTTCAGGTAAAGACACTGAGCTGACTGTACTGAAAACACTTACTAAGCTTGACTGCTGTTGACATTTACACAGTTACAATCTTCTGAAAATCAAGTTATCTTTCCAAGTGTGTCATTAAATAAACCTCATTTTCATGTCAAAGACAGACTTTGTACTCTTGGTGGATGCACTCACACTCTTGCCTGCTGTTCTCATGTTTAAAAACAAACCCATAAAGTAAAAAAAAACCACACTTTTTTAGTGAACTTTATTCAGACTTTGGTCTGATTATTGTTTCCTGATACATAATTTCCTTCATGTTTCCAAACGATCGCCTTCCTTTCTTTGATTAAATGAGCATGAACAATCATGCTAAGTTTTAAAGGGGGGTTTAAAATAAGGCTTTTCAGGGAAAACCAGAACAGCAAATTACAAGGTGCAAACAGCCCTGACTATAAAAAGTTCATAAGCCATCAGGCTTACCTATTAAAAGCATGCCTCTCCCCTTCCAGCACTTGCAGTCCATACTTCCAAGATATGCTATTGCTTACACTCACTGTGATAAAGAAAAAAGACACTGGGAGAGCCTGGAAGCTGAGAAATCCAAAGGAAGAGAAAAGGCAAGTAGGTTTCTGAGCCTCTGAACCTGATCTGTCACATCAGATGTGCTCAGACTTCTCTGTTCTGCTAACAGATTTGGTTGTGCAGGACAGGGGGCTGTGCTGCAAGACATGAGCTGCATTAGTTTTACACAGATCACAAAAACAAGTTCTACTCAGTTCTAGAGAAAGACTCATCCATCCAGAAGGAACAGAGTGGAAGTCAAGAGGGTTTAAAAGGCAGGAGTTCAAGTTATACATACCATGTAAGTGCAGAATGCTTTCAGCAGTGTTCCTTCCAACTTCTAAAAGAATCATGAGCTATGGATAGAGGGACTACTTGTGCTGTATGAATTACATATGGCAATAAAAGAGCTCTGTGGTTATTAATAGACAGCTTTATTAAAATACAGTCTTTTCCAGTCAGTTTAACAACCCATTTGATGATTGCATATCACTTAAGGCCTCCCACTTCATTTTTTTGTTTCTCTGGAAGTTAAGAGTGGAAAGGCTTCAAGCACTTGAGGCACTATCAGTCCTGATATAAATTCAAGTTTAAAGAGAAAAGTGTGAGCAGTTAGTAAGCAAGCTTACTGCAAGTGCAAATGGAACCACTCTTTCATGTTTAAAATTATTGCATGTATTTTTTTTAAAAATCTTAGCAGTTTAAGAGTAGTATCACAGTATTGATTTGAGTGTCTGAACACTCATGGAACACAGATGTTCCAAGTTCATAAACCGTTTATTTTAGATGATATGTTTTAAGAACACATGGATGGGTTGGAACAGATGGAAGTGTTACTTAACTTTACATTGTGAGTGCTTGTATTTCCTGAAGTATCTGCTCAAGGTTTGTAACTGATTTCTTTAAAAGATACAAATTTCATAGTGAATCTAAAAGTATTCCAGTGAAGATACATGAAGCCAATTAAGCTGGGCAGTCTCAGCCATGCTGAACACTGATTAGTACGTCAATTAGACACAGTCTGCATTTTGTACTGCAACTGTAAAGTCTTCTAACGTCTTTATGTCTAACTACCAATCTTCTTGCCCTTCAAAACATTAAAGATATCTTCTAGTGACTTGTGTATACACTGAAGGAATTCTTCACCATTCCTAGTTGGGTAAGAGGAAACATTACAACCTATCCAGTCGTCATGTACCTGATATCCTAATCCAAAGCCGTCGGACACCACGGGGCCAAACCCTCCCAGCTGCACAGCTGGGCTGACCAAGGTGCTCGTGGAGATGATGTTGTGATTGAGCCGAGCGTAGGCCTGGTCTTGATAGAAATCAGGTAGAGCCAGCCCTTTGGATAAGGCCAAGTAGCGCAGCCCAAAGAGATGGCGGTCAAATCCCTGCCCTGTCAAAATCAAATAACATGTATTAGAGGGAGGGGTCACTTTAGTGGGGAGTAAAACTCATTTATCTTGACATCACATTGTTTTCAGCCACAAAAGAGATCCACAGAAGTGAGGTTTATTTTTGTATTAGCAGGAATTATTTTTCAGAGCCCAGGCATTCTGCCCTTCACGCACACATCCCAGGGGAAGAGGGGCTGTTTTACTGCAAGAATCAACCAGGATCATGAGAGTACACAAAACTGCAATGCTAACAGACAATTTTAATAATACATCACATTCTTTGATTAACTATTTATCTGAGCATATCCAAGTTGTTTAAAGCAATAAAAATAGCCTTCCCAAAACTTAATAATCTAAAGAGGAAGAGGATCTTGCATCAACAGAAGGAGGCCAATTTTAGACTCTATGGGGTAACGTTGAACAGTCTGTTTTACTACAATAATAAACCAAGTTATGCTTCTGGGAAGAAGAGTTCAAAAAAAAAAGCCCTTTGAAAAATGCCAAGAGTAGCCCAGCCAAAAAATCAGTTTGATTTAAGAGCTGTTAAAGCTTTTATGCCCTGCAGGGATGTAGTGGTAACTCCTCAGACTTAAAGCCAAGATTCTGGTTGCCTTGGGGAGTATAACATGCACTAAGTATTTATCAAATCTTCCCATACCCCAGCTGCTCTAAGGACAAAAAAAAAGTATAAAAATTCTCAATACATTAACAGTGATGTGGAAATCACAGAGGCTTTCCTCTCCATCGAGAAAAGGAGTGTTACAGCCTTTGAACTTTGAACTACAGCCTTTGGCTACTGTTTTTGTCAAGTTTACGTTAGCATCAGACTGCCACCAAAATTAAATTATTTGGTTGTAAATTAAATATTTACAGACATTTTAGTGCAAAAGCAGAAGCGTGTGATCTGTTCCTACTCACCCATAGCAGCTTCTTTTGTCAAGCGGCCGTGGTACTTGGAGCACTCCACTATCAACTTCTGCAGCTCCTCTGTGCTGTGTTTGGACAGTTCCTTGACAAAAGCTTCCGAGCATTTCTTGGTATGGACAGAGGCAGGCCGGATGGTTTCTGTACGGCCGTGTTTGAACGCTGCAGTGCTGCACGACTCGTACGTAGCCACAGTCTGGTTGTACTGGCGAAGGAAAGCCATCTGGAAGGCCAGCTGAGCCACAGCATCTGGGCTCACCTTCTTCTGCTTTAGAAGCTCCTTGCCCCCTTCTTGGAACTGAATCATGTTAACAGACAGCGATTCTACAGTGGCATCGAATTTCTGTTTGGCTTTGGTAATCCCTGCTTTTAAGGCATCGTTCAGCTTAAAGTCAAGTTTCTGCACTGCCTTAGAGGAGTCTACTGAAGCAGGCTGGGACTGGGGGCTGATGGCTGGTGACTTGGTGCTGTCTTTAAAAACCTCATTCTGGAACCTGAGCACAGCCACACCATCTCCCCAGGAATGTTCAAAATTGATTCCTGCAGTGCCATCCTTGGTTATGATGAGATTAAAGGACTTGTCATACCAGCGGTTAGCCCCATCCCCGTGCAACATAGTGTGGGACAAGTGCACAAAGTCTTTAATGGGAAAATCATCTAAACTTAAACAAAACAAAGCAGAGTCTACTTTTTGAAGAGCTTCTTCATTGCCATTATCCAGTAGGTTCTTTCTCAGCGATGCCCACGTGTCTCGGTTTTCACTGGAGAGGTAGCCAAGAGGGAAGGCTGGGGCCGGACTGGTGTCACTAAGGATGTATTTCAAGTGTGCTTGTATTTCTGAGGGTTTCAGCATGTTTCCATCTCTATCAATTACGTCAAACACATAAAAATTTCCATTTCTCAGTACTAGTAAATGCTTCGCCTTTTCGTCTGTATAAAGCTCATCTTTCTCGAGCTTAGGCACCCGTGTGGAATTGAAAAGCCTGAAGTACTGAGACATATCCAGGGGGTAAGCATTGACCATGTAGGCACCAAACCAGGACACTGAAGAAGGCACAAATCGGATAATTTTTTTAAAAAGCTCAGTGTCGCTTTTTTCTGGATTAAGGTGAAAAACCTCTGGTTCCAGATAACCAGCCCTGAAGGTCTTCATAAAACGTATGGCAGAAACAGTCATGTTCGTAGCTCGTGTGAGCTGATCGTTGTATTCCGCTTTGGGATCGGGATTAAAAGACATAAATGCATTAAAATTCAAAACAACAGGCTCACGTGCTTTTAGGTACATGTCAAACCAGGGACCTGAAAATTGAGAGTTGAGAGTTAGGTCAGAACATAAAAACAGCTCACTGAGTCAGACCAGAGGTTTGTGTAGTCCAACAGTGATCATGACTAAACACACACTGCAGTGCCTACAAACATAACAAAAATATGCAGTAATTCACCCAGCACCTCCCATTTGGAGTGGTATGTCCCTTTACCTACTCTTAAACTATCAATTTCTGCAACTCCCTGTCACTGAGGTTGAGCCTTCTAGCTGGGCTGGAAGAAGGGCAACAGGTAGCTCAAGGACCTAAGTTACAATTTTAATTATAATTTCTTACAGGTGAGTAACTAGAATTCATTTACAGTTTGAAAACCACATCTGTCATCATCACGTAGCCTTTTAACCCTGGACTTGAAAGTCTAAGGTGGAGGCAACTATACATAATTTCAGAAATCAATTTGAAGTAGAACAGGTCTTTTATGAGACCTAAAGAAGAATAATAACTAAACAAAAAGTAATATAGACAACCCACTGCTCACGGACACAAAGCACTGATGAACAACATAAAGCCACCAGTTAAACCCCTAGATGCTGTTCAAAGTGAATGGAAAGTTAAATACAACAAACCAAACAGCAGTTTTTGTGAAATAATCTGGTATTCTCTACAGAATTTGTTGTAGCTAACACCCTTAGGGGCAGCCTCAACAGAGAGCAAGGACAGAGGTGCGTTCACTGGGCAACATGGCAACTTCTACTTCCATAGGTATTTGAGTATTTCCACCTCTGCTGCTATCTATCCAATACTTACAATACTAAGCAGACACTTCTATGTGGAAGTCAGTGGAAGTAGTATAATCAAAAATCTATACACCTGCTCTCCCTCTCCCAATGTGTTTTTCTTTATTCTCATTTTCCTCTTTCTGTTGCTCCTTTTCTTAGGTTCTTTAAGAGAATATGGTTTTGTAGTTTTAGGGGCTTTTAAGTGCAGGGCACTGACCACTTCTGCCTCCAAAACTTAGTTATATTCTCTGACTCCTTCCCTCCCTTAGAGTTTAGTTTCGTTACTAAATAATGTGGAATTATTTGGAAATGATTGCTTTAGTGTCCTTAAGGAGTTATTAAGCTGCTCTTTAACCTAAGCCTAAACAGACAACCACAGTGTTCACAGCAAGTTCATGGATTACTTAAACTTCAGCCCATTATATTTGTAGCATAACGAGATGTTACCAAGCATGATGATCCACAGACTCCTCCAACACCCAGCAGGCACACGTACCTGTGATGTAACTAGTATGCTTGTTCTGATTGTCCTGAGCAACCAGTTGCTCATGTAGCTCTCTTCCAATTCCCTTTTCAAAGGCACGAGCGAGTTCTTCAGTTTTCCTACAGCAATGAAGAAAATAGTCAAAATGCTGTCACATTTCTATTTTTTATCTGTATCACTTGGCTCTGAAGCAGCACATGACACTGCAATATGTGTTTGTCTGTACCTGAACTGGTCATCATTTAAAAGCGGTTTCTGGGCATTCAGATATCTCATAATTGTATCTTCCAGTTTGGGAACAGGCAGCCTGAAGGAAGTGGAACACAGACACATGCACTTTATGAGCAAGGGTACAAACGCAGCCTGAGTTTCTTACACAGTAGTCTGTCTTTGCCTCTCTTCTTCCCTATCCTTCCTAATACTACTATATATACTATACTATATATATATATATATTTGGATAATACAAATACATCTTCTCCAAGTGCCTCATAAGTTTCTTGTGGAATAAGAGGAGTAGGGGAATAGATGGACACGGGACAGCACAGCCTAAGATTCTTGGGAAACAAGGCAGAGAAGCAACTTGACCGGCTCGTTACAAAGGTACTGCGGTGATGGGTGTTAACCCCTTACAGGGAACACAGTGACGGGAACCACTGCCAGGAGAAGCAGCTCTGCAGAAGGTTGCCAGCCCTGCTTCAGGCCTTCCCCTCATTGCTGGGTGCTGGACATCTACTTTCTTACAAATTTCCCATCGAGTATCTTTGCCAACTTCCTCTCAGCACAAGAAAACGTTTTCCTTACTACAGAACAATCCCGATACACTCCCGGGGTTCCTTTGCGAACCAAAGGGATTTTTCAGTAGCAGGCTTACAACCATATTTAAAAACCCAAGCCATGGCCGGGAGAGCGGGCAGCGCACAGCTCGGAGCCGGGGGCGGACATTCCCTCAGCGCGGACCCCCGCACGGCCCCCGCCCCGCGCCCCCGCAGCACAGCCCGGGGCGCTCCCCGCGGCTGCCCCGGGACCCGCCCTACCTGGGCAGGCTCTTCTGGTAGTGCATGGTGGGCACGATGCTGCGGTGCAGGAACTCGGCAGCGCCCGCGCTGCTGTAGCCGCGCCGCCCGCGGCCCGGGGCCGCCCTCAGCAGCTGCCGCGCCGCCATGACAGCAGCGCCTCAGCACCGCCCCCGGGACCGCCCGCCATGCCCGGCCCCGCCCGGCACTCTCGGGACCGCCCGCCATGCCCGGCCCCGCCCGCCAGCCCCGGGACCGCCCGCCACTCCCGGGACCGCCCGCCAGCCCCGGGACCGCCCGCCAGCCCCGGCCCCGCCCGCCGCTACCCCCGGAAAGGAGGGAGGAAAACGAAACCTTTCCCCTATTACTATTCCATTCAGAAAGTCGATTCGATGCACGCTGTCAAGGCAGCAAGGTTATCAGGGTATTGGAAAGTGTCTGGAGTGGCGTGATTCGCCATCAGTCGTCTTTTACCTAGCCGTTAATAAAGTCTGCATTAGTTACATTTGCATTGATTAAATTTGCATTAATTAAATTTGCATCTGTAAGTTAAATCATAAACACAATATTAAATAATAAAATTATTAATGCATTAATAAAATTTCCTGCTATCCTCTTGTTTTGACAGCACTCTTGTTCAACATACAGACTCCACTTATTTTTCCTCTTCCTTTTTTTTTTTTTTTTTTTTGTGTGTGCGTATCCATATGTCCTGCTCTTTATACAGGATTCAGATCCTGCCTCCAAGAGAGCAGTTTAATCCCTCTTGAGCTTTTTTACTCATATGTGAGCGCGTGACAGCAATTCTATATCACAGTATAAAATGTAAAATTGTAAACACGTTGTATTTTGTTGTATTGCATCCAATATTTTCTGTAAAAACACTGAATAATATTAGAATATCCCAGAAGCTCCAGAGATGCTCTCATAAGAAAGCGTGGCACCGCAAATGGTGATGGGGGTGTATTTTTATCAGATACTCACCAGCATAAAAATCAGCGTTGGGATTGAATGCGGACACAGCAAAGGAAAGGAAAGCAATCCCTGTGGCTTAGTCTCATAATCCTCTGAAAGTAAATTGGCCCTACCCTAATCAACATAGTGGTTGGAAGAAAAGTGAAATCATTTCACTTCCAAGACAATAAAAGCCAAACGCCAGAAGGTGTCCTTGCATGCTTCAGTCTGTGGCTGTTTCCTGTTTAATGTGTGTCTCTTAAGCTGCTCATTCAGCCTTTTTTTGGCCATGGTAATGAAAAACCCCAGCCTGCTTTAATTAATGAAGTCCAGTTTCACCTAGCTTGCCCTGTTGTGATAGTGCTGTTCAAAACGTTACCTGCCCTGCCCTTTAGGAGAACTGCAGTAATGCTCCTGTTCCCTGTGCGAGTGCTGGCTCGTAGAGTTCCCTTTCCAAGTTTGGGTGTCCAGACCCCAAACCCGGAGACTGAGGAATGCACTGTCTTTCTCCCGGGAGTGTCACTTTGTTTTGAACTAGTCTTGTTTTAGAAATACTACTGCATTCTGTTCTAATTTTCCAGAGCCCCCTAATCTTCTTCCAGGCTCTTAATGATGTAGTTGATAATAGGATTGTTGGTATTAATTTGGAACAATAACGCCAGCTGCTTGCTTGGTGGCTATTGGCAGAGGGGTGACCTTGCAGGTCAGCTAAGCAGAACTGGAAGTGCTTTGATCTGATCTATACAGAGCCAGATCTGTCCACCCGAACAAGAGGAGTGAGGGAATTCTCTCCCCATGGGATGCTGATTCTTCCCCGCAGAGCACGGAGCACAGCATGGCGGTGGCTTTGGATGCAATCCTCGCTCGGATCAAGGATGTTTGTAAAAGGAACGGTTTGCTCATCCTCTCCGTGTTGTCCGTCACCATCGGCTGTCTCCTTGGATTCTTCCTGAGGACGAGACGACTCTCCCAGCAGGTAAGAGTGGGCACGGCAGCAACACTGTGGAGAAAATACCACACTTACGTAACAAAAGACGTGTGGAACTTGTGCAACTTCGGCACAGGCTTTGGAACATAAAAATTGTGTCTCTATATTCGTTAAATTTGTTTAATTTCCTTTGTCTGTTGATCTGCACTGCTCTTTGGGTCCTTTCACACGTTCTCAAACAATACATCAGCAAAGGGGTTTTGGTCTCTAAGACACCTGGTAAGTGTAGCATAAACACACCAGAATGTTGCAAGTATGGATAATAACAGTGGACATTTAAGCTAGACGAGAGGTAGCATCTAATATAGACCTGGAAAAACCAATAGTGCAATATCTTGGATTTTATACTGTTTTGGAATATGTACGTCTAAAGAAAACACTGGGAATATTTTTCAGCACCCGATGCACAGAGGTGCAGAAGTTTATATCACACCAATGGCGTTTCATGGTAATAAATTTAAGACTTCCCATCATTAGCAGACCGTGTTATTGAAGTCCCCTGGGGCTTTCTCCCCCAGCACACTTCAGCCAAGCCATTGGGGGTGCTCATTTCTGCTGCATTAGTCGGACAGACCAGACAACAACATGCATTGCTGAATGTGCTGTTTGAGCACAAAATACAAACCTCAGTTTAAAAATATAGCTTTTAGTAAATGCAACTAAACTAAACTGATTCTGTTTTCTGCTATGGCAAACCACTGTCTGAGCATCGTTTGTGACCAAGCAGTAGCTTCATACACATCTAGGAAAACACACAAATACAGAATGAAGAGATTATTCAGAGCAACCCAGTAACAGCAGTCCCCAAGAGATGGCAAATTTCATTTCTGTCTTCCTTTGTAAAGGAATGAACCGTGTAGGGTGTTTATTGAACAGCAATACATTATGTAATCTAATTAATTTTAAAATGATCTTTTGAAGCCTGCTATCTTTGCCACCTTACGTGCCAAAGCTGCAGATTTCACCCATGTTATCTGATCCCCAGCTCTGGCAGCACTTGTGAAGGCAGACAGTCTTCAGCTCAAAACAATAAGCACCTCTCCATGTATTTTCCAGGAAATTAGTTACTTCCAGTTTCCTGGTGAGTTACTGATGAGGATGCTGAAAATGCTGATTCTCCCACTGGTTGTCTCAAGGTAAGTGAGGACAACAATAGTTCCAATAACTTTTACAAGTTTCCTAAATGAGACTCGTCATTGCCACAGTTTTACTTGTGACTGAATTAAGTGACAGTGCCGAGGCATCACTGACTGTGAATTTGTATTTATAGTGGAGCCACGAACATGTTTTTTAATCAACAGGATCATTTCTGCAATATGTCATATAGCTATTATTGGCTTTAAAATTAATGTGGTTTTTTTTAACTGTTTCCTTTTTCCCTTGTAATGGAAGGACTTTTCCCTTCAAGCCAGTTAGAAGTTAAATACATGGAATAAATAACCCACCTTATCAAAAAACCCACCTTAAGTCTAAATTATTGAAACAATACACTGTTCAAACAAGATGAAAAAGCACAGTTATTTATAGTGTCATACAGTATCCTGTGTTTCCAGTGAACTAATAATATACGCCTGGCTTCAGCTGCAAGTGAAAGTGATTTCTCAGTACATTAAAGGCAGAACCTTTAGTGGTGCCACTTTACTGGTAGCAGAATTAATTATCTCGATCCTGTTCTGAGGGATGGTGCATGGGAGCTGCCTTTGCAATGGGAGGCCATGACTTAGAGAGGTTTTTCTCTCCTCTGAGCTTGACTGTCTTCCAGCTGACTACAGTCCCAGCCACACACCAGTTGGATGGCCAGTGCTAATTTGTGTGCCCAGTGCTTAGGGAAGACAGAAGAAGAGTAACAAAGCTAACTTTACCAGACCTGAGAAAAAATTATTGCAATATTTGGTGCCTTTCCTTGAAGCCTCAGTTTCTGAAACCTAATACACACACCAAGACCTCATCTTCCACTTTAAGAAAAAAATAAGTTTGTAGTCTTCAGATTGAAGAGAGTTGCTGAAAATTAACACAGCTGAGCACCAATTTTAATTTTAAATTATCTGCCTTTAGATGTGCCTTCTCATGGCCTTTCACAGAACAAAGCTGAGTCACGGTGCTCTGTGCATGAAACTGTTCACGTGGCCACAGACTCACACCTGGTTCTGTCCCGTGCAGCAAGAGAACATCAAAACAAAACATGTCAAGAGATTTCTTCTTGAGAGGTGGAAGGAGAGTTTTCCAAAGAAAACACGAGTCTCACAGGAGGAAGTGGTGTAGTAAGGAGGACAGAAAAGGGTTGAGCAGATTCACATGCCCTTCCCTAAAATGTGTAGTTCTTTAGATCCTCTTGTGTTTTCTTGAGATGTTAGGAAGAGCAACAGCACAGCAGGGAAGAGCTGCTCTGACACAGCCTGTGCTGGCTCAGGTTACCTACAGATGTGTCAGGAGTGAACCTCTGAGCCTGAGAAGAAACTTGACTGACCCTCAAATGGATTAACTCTCCTTGCACGACAGTATGAGTCCATCTCCGTGTGTAACAAACCATCACTTGCTATGGCAAACTGAAATGTCAGGGGTTTGCAAGCAAAAGCTACTCCAGATGTAATTACGTTTTCCACACATCCATTTCATAAAATCAGTAAAGCCATGCTCTGTAGTTTTACCAATCTGTATGCACATTTAAATTACATTTCTTTGTAGATCTGGAATATTCTCAGCCTGTCCTGCCAGAGCAAAGGCATTTAAATTATCTTTTAAATTACTCTCTATTATTGTTTACAAAAGCCAGAGGTAAAGCACCATGACAAGAGCTCTAAATATTGCTCTCCTTGTGGAAATTAATGCAAGTTTTTCCTTGAATACACAAATCAAAAAAATTACTTGTAAAGAAATAGAAAGGCAAGAAAGGAAGATTAAAAGGACTGAGTGCAAAATACCCCATCTCCAAGTCCAGAGTTTATTTTGGAGTATTGTAGCAGAAGTAAAATGTGGTAACTGTGTGGGTCAGAAGACTGACAACAGACTAGAAAATCTTGCACTTACAGGCCACTAGCACAGAAATGCCTGAAGATTTGTACTTTCCCTCTTGATCTGACAGTTAGAGAGTAAAACAAGGAACTTTGCAGATTGTATCCATTAAGAATGAGGTAATTGTGATATAGTCAGGTATCTCTGAATGGTGTTTATTTTAAAAGTTCCCTGGAAGCAGAAGAAATCAGTTGAACAACATGAGACCGTTTCTCA